AGCCACCTCATTTTGGACACCGGGGATGGGAACAGATAGCAGAACTGTGCCTTACACAGTTTGCGCGGGGGGAAATGTTTTTTTAACCAGGCTCTCTCTGCCTCCAGCCCGTCACACAGGGCCCCTGTGGGAGGAAGTGGGCTCTGCCTCGGTTTCCCCAGCAAAGCAGCCATTGGGGAGCAGCCAAACTCTCCAGGGCTGCTAGGTACAGATGCCAGAGATGCCCAGCAGAGATGCCCAGCACAGCATCATCCCCCCTCACAGGGACACCCCCAGGCTCTTACCAGGAGGGAAACATCTGGAGGAGGAGAGCACGACCAACAGCCTGGGACTGCCCTCCCTGCCACCACACAGGCCCACTCTCCTCCCTCCCGATGGGGTAGGTTAGGATACCACAAGGGAAGATCCCTTTTTTCCTCCTGCTCACCTTGACCCCCAGGTAAAGAGCAGCCTCTGAGCTGCAGCTGGAGGGAGGCTGCAGGCAGAGAGCCACAGGTTTCTGCATATCTTCCCCAAAACATCAACAGCTCTGCAGGTTGTGCTGTTGGGCTTCACTGCCAGGACTAACCCAGCCTTCATGTCCCCAGTCCCCTCCCCCAGGCACCAGCATTGCACCTCATCTGAGGAAACTGAGGCAGCAGAGGGGGAAGACACTTAAGCCATGGAATTTCTTCCCAAGCTGAAAAAGCTGGAAGAGGGAGGTGACATCCATGAGCCACTCCCCAAAAGGAAGGATGGAAGGGTTCCACCACTGCAGCCAAAATCAAGTTCCAAGCCCCCTGCAGCGGGACCCCCAGGCAGAGGAGGTGCTGGCCAGGCTGTGCCAAGTCAGGGGCAGGGAAGGAGCCCCAGCCCAGGTGTCCCATCCCGTGGGAAGTGCAGGGATCAAGGCTGGGCATGTACCCTCCAAGGCTTTATCCAGGTCTGCGATGAACTCCTCCAGCTCCTGTGTGTCTCCAAGCTTTGCTAGTGGGGAAAAACACAGTCAGGTCTTCCCATTCCCCCTCTCACTGGGGAGAGGAGAGACCCCAACCCCCCGTTCCTAGCACAGCTGCTCCAGCTGTGTCTGACCCAGCCAGTCCAGCCTCAGCTGGGAAAATCCCAATCTAACTTCTGCCCCTTCCAGGCTCCTGCCAGGACACAAGGGCTCATTCCCACTCTGTAGGGCCCCACTGGCACCCCCCCTATCCAGGGCTGGCTGTCATTGCCAAGCCCAGCTGAGCACAGAGAAGGAAGCCCTGCAAACCCCTTTGGGTGGGGCCAGGCTCACCTTTGGTGGGATAAGTGTCAGCTGGGCTGTTGAGGTGCTCCTCACTGGAGTTGAGGCTGCTTCCTGGGGATGTGCTGGCACCTGCGGAGACAGAGCATCAGTCCTGGCCTGGGCACAGCCACCTGATGAACACTTTGCAGGAACATGGCACAATCACACCCATGGCACAGAGTGGCACACTCTTGGAGACCCCATCTGCTTCTCTCCTGCTTCTAGGAATGCTTGGAAAAATGGAACTGAGTTGCTTTCTCAGGTCAAAGAGCACCAGAGGTTGTCTGGGCACAGTTACAAGGACAGGGTTACTACAGAGAACTGGGTTATCCCCAGCCTCTCAGGGTTTTGCAGCAGCCTGCCTGGCATAAGAAGCCCTGGCAGATGTTGGCAGGTCCTGGGCCAGTATCCAGTGGTCATCCCCCCATTGCTCATCCAGCCCACCAGGCTGAGTCAGGCAGCGTCAGCACGAAGATGTGCTCCATGCAGGAACCACAGAGCTTCCCACCCCGGCAGACACCATCCTCCCCCGGGCTCCTCACCCCCCACCCAGACTCACTCTCCAGCTCATCGATGCCACTGTCATACACACTCTGTCCCGCCTTCCTCTTCAGCTCCTCCAGGTGCTGCTGGTACTGACTGGCAGGGCCACGTTCAAAGTCCTCCATGACTTCGTCGAACTCCCTCAGCAGCTCACTGAGCTCCTCAGCCATCGCTGGGGGCAACACGGGGGTGTTGGGGTACCCACCTGGCAGGCAGGGCCAGCAAGAGCCTCTTGGGAGCAGCCCAGGCTGGGGATGGGGCAGAGCCAGGCTCCGTGTCCCGGCTCTGCAGGCAGTGGCCAGCACTGCTCCGAGCACAGCCGGCTCCTCAGACAGCTCAGCCTTCCCTCCAGCTCATCCCACAGCTGGGCTGGGGCCAGCTCAGTAAGAACTGGTCCTACACAGGCTTGATAGAATCCCAGAAGGGTTTGAGCAGGAAGGAACCTTAAAGCCCATCCCAATTCCACCCCTGCCATGGGCAGGGACACCTTCCACCAGCCCAGGGTGCTCCAAGCCTCAGTGTCCAGCCTGGCCTTGGGCACTGCCAGGGATCCAGGGGCAGCCACAGCGGCCAGCCGGGCGGCACATGGAGGAGCGGAGGGCACAGTCCCCGGCCGGAGCAGTCCGGGACCCCCGGCTCCATCCCGCCCCCGGGGGTTGCCGGGAGGCTGCGAGGGGACACAGGAGCGGAACCCCTCGCAGGTTCCGAGGAGGCGGCATCCCCCGGTTCGGTTCGGTTCGGCACTCACCGGCTGCTCGGCTCCCTGCGCTCGGGTCCCGGCGGCAGCAGCGCCTCCTGCTCCGCTCCCGCCGCTTTTGGCCCCGCACCGGGGGCTGGGCGGGGGCTCTGGGAGGCTCCGCCCCTCAAACGGCGGCGAGGGACCGGGGGAGTCCCGGCGTCGCCCCCAAACACCCCCGAACAAACACCCACTAACAAACACTCCCGAACAAACACCCCCAAATATCCCTGAACAAACACCCCCGAACAAACACCCCCAAACGCCCCCTGCCCGGTCTCGCTCCTGACAAACCCCGGACAGGAGGTGGAACACAGGGTTCGTGCTCAGCTCCCAGGGAACAAGGGACAGACGGGCTCAAGCTGTGCCAGGGGAGGGTTAGATGGGCTATTGGTGGAAATTCCTCCGTGGACAGGGCTGTCCAGCCCTGGCACAGCTGCCCAGGGCAGTGTGGAGTGCCCGTCCCTGGAGGGATTTAAAAGCCGTGTGGATGTGGCACTTGGGGACATGGGTTGGGGTGGCCTTGGCAGCGCTGGGGAATGGTTGGACTTGGTGCTCTTGGAGGGCTTTTCCAACCTCAACAATTCCACAATTCTCTCCCACACAGGTTTTCCAGAGAACTGTCAAGCCCAGAGCTCTGTGTCTGGGCCCTGCCCTGGATCCTGGTCAGCAGCATGAGGGAGACACAGGGGTTTAAAGAAAGAGGAGCTCGGCCTCTGCTTGCTTTCTGTTGACTCTAAACCTTGAATCCCAGCAGCCGGTCCCACTCCTGCAGATATTCCCTGTTGTACCCTCATACGAGCCCTAGGCCTGGCTCTGCCTGTGAAACCCCACTGGTCTGAGGGGCTCAAGGGGGCTTTGGTGGGGCTGGAGCTAAAAACCAGCCAGAACCACCCCAACAGCAGCAACTGCCCCCCAAAACAGCAACTGCTCTCTAAACAGCAGTGACCAGCCCCAAAACAGTGACCAGCTCCTGAGAGCCACCAACCCCCCAAAGCAGACACCCCCAACAGCAGCAACCCCTCCTGTGCCAGCACTGGGGATAAGGAAAGATCAGGACAGAACCTTCCCTATCGTTTCTGAGGTGACCCCCAAGGCTTGCAGGGGCAAAAAGCCGCTGAAAACAGAACCTGGAGCACGACAAAAGCCAGCCAGCCCCTCCAGAGCGGGTGCAGAGCCACGCCAAGGCTCCGTGAGCGAGATGTGAGCTCCCTGGGGAGGGGGTTTATTTCGTGAGGGCGGGACAGAGCGGCTCCGGGCCGGCCCCGTGCGCTCCTCAGCGCTGCTCCGCCGAGGCCGATCCCTGTGCAGCCGCAGGAGGCCGCGGCCAGGCCGGCGCCGGGCTGCCCTCAAGCGGAGTTTCCAGCAATATCCCATCAGCGCTGCCAGGGATAAACACGCTACGGCGACTTTGATGGTTCTGTAGTAGCCAGAGAAAGCTGGCGCTTCCCAGTGAGCTCCCCGTGCCCCCCTGCCCCCGTTGTGGTGCTGGGAAAGTGAAATCCAACAGGACTTTTCCTGCAAAGAGCTACCTCCTGTGTCAGCATCCTTGGTCCATCCTAGAATCATGGAATCACAGAATGGCTTGGGTGGGAAGAGACTTTGAAGTCCGTCCCCTTCCATGCCCTGTCCTGGGCAAGGACACCTTTTACCACCCCAGGCTGCTCCAAGCCGCATCCAACCAGGCCTTGGATGCTTCCAGGGATCCAGGGGCAGCCGCAGCTGCTCTGGGCACCCTGTGCCAGTGTTTTACCACCCTAGGAAGGAATTTGAAAGGCTGGGGGCTGCTCTTGCAACAGGTACAATCCCACCCAGAGCAGTGGCTGGGCACAATGTTGGTTTCACAGCTGACACTTGAGTGTTCCAGTGGCCCCTGGAACCTTCCACAGACTCATGGTGTCCCAAATTTATCTGCTCCTCCAGACACAACAGCTCTGCTGCTCTTTGGAGCTTATCAGCTCCCAGGGGGTCTCACCAGCTATCTCACAGCACAGGCTCCTCCAGGAAATGCTTCCCCACCCATTCCTACTGTTCTGATCTGCAGGGAAGGGACCTTTGCAAAATAAGAGCCCAGACCTGAGCAGGGCACCTGAGAAGCTCTGGACGCCTTCAGACCAGGACTGGGTGCAGGCTGTGGTGGAATATGGAATACTGTTAGCAGAGGCACTGTTTTGTCCCCAAAAGTGCCCTGCTGTGGCTGCCCCAGCCCTGGAAACGTCCAAGGCCAGAAGGCCAGGCTGGATGGAGCAGCCTGGTGCACTGGAAGGGGTCCCTGCTTATGCCAGGGCCTCACCACCCTCACAGGGAAGAATTTCTCTGAATATCCCATCTAGCCGTGCCCTCTGGCAGTGGGAAGCCATTCCCCTTGTCCTGTCCCTCCAGGCCCTTGCAAAAGCATTTGGATACATGGATAGATGTCACAATAGAACATGAAATAAAACAATGTGGACACGGGAACTTCAAGGTGAGAAGAAGAAGAAGGAGGGAAGTTTATTTCTTGACTCTAATATTTATAGACTTTCAAAAGTGACAGTGGATTGGAGGATGAAAGTGCTACCTCTCCAATTACACTAGACAAACCAACAGTCCATCAAATTTCTCCTCCTCTAGAGAAGAATGTAAAACAATAATTATTTACATAAAAGTGTGTGAGAAACTTCATTACAATAATGTAAACATCAGAAGGCTTAGAAGATCTTAGAAGAACAGGGTCACAGATAAGGTCCCTCTGAGCCATCTCTTCTCCAGTCTGAGCAGTCCCAGCTTCCTCAGCCTGTCCTCCCAAGAGTGCCCACAGGTCTAGGGATGGAAATCCATTCCCCGATGTCCTGTGAGAAGAAGATGGCAGGGGAGGGCTGTGCTGAGGACGTGGCAGAGGTTGGACGCACAGGGAGATGCCAGCCTGGCAGGTGACCCCCGAGCACAGCTCTGCCCCAGGGCACAGGCACAGAGGCTGCCCCCAAAGTGAGGCAGGAGCTGGGTTTTGCTGGGAACAGCTGCCTGGTTTTGTCCAGAGAGCCTGGCCAAGCCTTGCTAGATGCCAACATCCAGGTTTAGGAAGGAGACATTGCTGTAGAGCTCCGAGGAGACCGAGCCTCGCTCCAGGCTTTGTGTCCAGCCAGGCAGCGCGGACAGAGCAAGGTCCTGCCCGGGGTCCTCACACTCTGGGCTCCTAAGGAAGCAAAAAATAGAGAGATGCTGTTTGCAAATGCTTCTACTGCCTACTGCACTCCCAAGTGGGCTCAAGCAGTGATCCCAAAGATTGCCATCTCCAGAAAGTCCCAAAAGGAATGTGAAGGCAAAAAAGAAGCTGTAGCATGGATCACAGAATCCTGGGTTTGGGTTGGAAGGAACTTTGAAGAGCATCTAGTCCATGGGCAGGGATACCTTCCACTAGACCAGGCTGCTCCAAGCCCCATCCAAACTGGTATGGAAGTGGCCTGTGGTCTGGGAAAACCCTTCCCACAGGACAATTCATGTTTACTGAAGAGTCATCAGCTCTACTGAAGGCTCTTGAGCATCCCCTACTTCCCAGTATCCCCTGTTTTCAAGCACTTCCTACTTCCAACCCCAGGGAACAAACCTCCTCCTTCATTATGTGCCATGGTGGACCCAGCTTATGGGACGTGAGGTCCTTACAGCCACCATCTTTAACCTCAGGGAAGCTCCTGTTCTGAGCCTCAGTGGGACTGTCCCATCTTGCACCTGAAATGTGGATGTATGGACAGAGCCTCACACAGACACACAGGGCAGGCAAAGACTGCAGGGAAACGTGGACACCAAGGATGGAGGAGGTTTGGAGAAGGCTGGTGGTGGAGCAGGAATCAGCATGTGGCACTGAGAAGCAGGAGCAGGGGAGGGCTGGACAGGAGCCTGTGTGGACACCAGAGCTCTGGAGAGAGCTGGCACAGGCTGAGGGACAAACAGGGAGAGCAGGGAGCTCCAAGGGATGTGAAGGATGGAGTGTGAAGGGCTTTTCCTGGAGAGCTCATGACCAGAGCACTGGAGGAAGACGAGCAGGGCGTGCTGTCACTTGTCCCTGTGCCCTGAGGAGCCCCTCGGGCACTTACGGCATGTCAGGGAATTTCCTGCGCAGCAGGTACTCAATGACATCGGGGTCTGTCTGGAACAGCCTCCTCAGCACGTCACACTGCATCTCTGGAGACACCTGGGGAGACACGGCCACTCTGGAGACACCTGGGGAGACACTCATGGGGCCCCTCTCGGACGGAGTCTGAGCAGAGACAGCCAAGGAAGGACCCCAGGACGTCGTCACAGACCCAGCATGTTGGTGTCACACCCCACACACCTCCCAGCGTCTGCAGGATCTCAGCCCCTGCTTTCCCCCCATTATCCCCAGTCCTTTGGCTCCCTGCAGACCCCAAAAATTGCTATAAGGCTTTTTGGGGACATGAAATGTCACATTCCAATAGACCTGAGGGAACTCGTACTGCTCCCTGCGAGTGCCCTGTGGGACGGTGGAGAGAGAATGGAGCCAGAGCCTTCCCAGAAGATGGGCACAGACCAAAGTGTGCCTGTCTGACAGGGACAAAATCCTTCCCCTGCTGCTCTTGTGGAAGAGTTCAGAGGGAAGGAGGGGCTGGAGGGGCTGCCCTGAGGAGCCCCATATACCATGAACAGGGAGTGGTGGTGCTCGATCAGCCTCTGGAGCACCAGGATTATGGCAGCACTGTCCTCAAAGTTCAGGGCACCAGCATCTTTCTCTCCAGGCTTCTCCTTCTGCAGGATGTTGGGACCAAAGACTGTAGCGAGGTTTGACACTGTCATTTTATTCCCAGGGATCTACAAGGAAGCACAAAAGGAGCCTGTGGACTGTGGATGTAGTGGCATGGGATGTCCCAGGATATCCTCACCCACCCCAGGGCAGGAACACAAGGGTGAGGTGAGGGTGAGATGTTGGTCCGGGTCCAGTTCGGTCCTCTCTGAGCTGGTGGCAGGGCCAGCACAAAGGGCTTGAGGTGCTGGAGCACACACTCATCCCGTTCCCACCTGCCTCACCTTCCCACCTTTCCAACCACAATGACCCTGGGATTCTGTGAAGGATTTGTTTTATCCCAAAGCCTTCACCCAGGCTTGCAGCAGCTCCGCTCACTTCCAGCCCCAGCAGCCCGAGCACCTTTCCCCGGGCAGCTCCTTTGGAGCAGCCTTACCTTGCGGCCCTCTGGGTCCCAGGAGCTCTCAGCGTGCTGGGCCACCTTGGCCAGGAAGCGCAGGAGCCGGAGCAGGGTGTCACTGTGGCACGGGGGCAGCAGGAACAGCAGCAGCTGCAGGGTGTCCAGCTGGGCCGGCCCCTCCAGGGCTGGGGAGCAGCTGTTAGTGAGGGTCCCAGCCCACCAGGCACTTCCAGCCCTCCTCCACATGCTTGGGAATGAGCTCTGGTGGGAGCCAGGCTGCTGTGCCACCCTTCCTCCCATGGGATGGAGAACCCAGCAAAGGCTGTGGTGTTGCTGGATACTGCACAGCCCCACAGCCAAAGACTGTCACAGACCAGAGGGATTTTTATAGTCCAATTCAAAGGAAATCAAACAAAATCCCCACCAAACCCACTGATTACGCTACTGCCTGTGGCAGTGCCAGAGAGCACAACACCCATCCCATCGCTGTCCAGAGGCTTTGGAAAAGAAGGGTGGTGAGGAAGGATCCATTCCTGGCAGTGTCCAAAGTCAGGTTGGACAGGACTTGGAGCAACCTGACCAAGTGAGAGGTGCCCCCGACACAAATCCTCCTGTGGCTGTGCAGGCTCTGCTCCACAGGTACTCACTAGCTGTGCTGAGGAAGGCTCCATAGAGCTCTCTGGGAATCAGGGAATCTGGCATGTCCCGGAGAAACTCTTTGAGCAGGGCAGCCACATCATGAACACTCTGATGCTCATCCAAGAAAACATCCAGCCCTCGGTCAAACTCTTCCCTCAGCTTGGAGATGGAAGAAGTGGGAAGGATGAAAATCACAGTCAGTTCTGGTCTGTTTCAGATCTCTCCACACCAATGTCAGCTCTATCCATTCCCATCCACACAAGCCTCTATATCCCTGACAAGGCACAGCCAGAGGATGCAGTGAATGCCCCCCTTTACCTGCTGGACTCTTTTCTTGGAGCTCCCGACACGGAAGATGCCAACAGTTTGGAGCCCTGGGGGACAGAGAGGTTAATGTTGTGCATTCCCATGGCTCCCTGCCACTCTGGCTGCTCCTGGGAGCACCTCAGCACCAAGCAGGCTTCTCCTGCTTGGCTTTCCCTTCTCCAGGCAGTGAGGAAAAGGAAAGGCTGTGGAGCCAAGAGATTTCCTTGGATTGCCTGTGAGAAGGGAGGAGATCCCATCCCTACAGTCATTGTGAGTGAGGGTTGGATGTGCAGCAGAGGCTGAGGCACCAAGGGATGGTCACTGACACACAGCAATATTCCCTCCTCAGTGACATTCCCCTCTGGTGCTGCATCCAACCCAGAGGACTCTCCACAGGAGGCTTTTTGGGAGATGCCCTGCCCCAGGACTCACAGAAGCATTCAGGTGGGGAAAGACCTCCAAGACCATCGAGTCCAACCTTCGGGTGAATCCCACAGTGCCCGTTAAACCCGGCCCTCCTCCCCCCTTGGGGGTGGCCAGGCCAGGATGTCCCGGTGGCCACACACAGGGAGTTTTTCCAGCCCTTACCGTGTGTCTCAAGGTGAGTGCAGCACCTGTCCACAATCCGTGGCACCTGCCAGGTGATGGGGTTCAGGCTCAGTGGCTTCTTCTTGCCCCGGCTCCTGCGAGGGTCCAGCTCGTGGGGGTGTGAGAGCTGCAGGGCCTCCAGCAGCTTGGATGCGTTGTCACTCAGGTCCGTGATGGAATCCACGGACATGGCCCCCTGTGATGGAGCAGAGGGTGTTTACAGGTGGCAGGAATGACCTCAGAGATCCATCACTGCCGTGACCTCACGGGTTTCTGGGAAAGGGCAGCATCCAGTGCCACTCCTGCCATGAGCAGGGACACCTTCCACTATCCCAAGTTACTCCAAGCCCCAGTGTCCACCCTGGCCTTGGACACTTCCAGGGATCCAGGGGCAGCCACGGCTTCTCCGGGCACCCTGTGCCAGGGCCTGCCCATCCTCATGGGGAAGAATTCCTTCCCAACATCCCATCCATCCCTGTCCTCTGGACCCTTAAATGTCCCCCTGGTAACCTCAGCTCCATAAGACCTGTGCTAGTGAAGCCCTCCCACTCCTCACAGTCCATCTGAGGGGACTGGGGACATCACCGTTTCCCCAAGGACAGTCTGTGACCGGCTCAGCCTGGGACACAACCAACTCAGTCAGTAAGAAAAAATCCTGGAAAATCCCATTTATTGCCGAATTCAGAAGCCCCCATCCCACAGCACCACCACAGCCCATTTTGGGGACCATACCCTCCGCTGGCTCCAGGAGCCCTTGTCCACAAGAGCTGGGGAAAGCGGCTCCTCTGGGCAGCCCCCGTCGGGTGCTCGGATACAGCTGGTGCCCATTCCCAACCTCTTCTGCCTCTGAGCCCGGAACCTCGTCACCGTGGCCTCCACCTCCAGGCAGAGCCGCCGGCTCTTGCCCACGGCCTCCTGCAGCTGCCGGCAGGCGCGGTCGTTGGCGATGACCTGGGGGAGCGGGACCCCGAAGGTGTGGGGAGAGCACTCTGGGGGAAACACGGGAGCAAGGGACAGGCATTGCAGTGAGCGAGCTGCACGGACGAACCCCGCGTGCCCTGCCCCCAGGAGCACCCGGAGCGCATGGTGCGTTCCCAAGGAGCCAGGCAAACCCAAAGGGAGCTGCTCCTCCTGGAGAGCAGGAAAGGTGTGGTGGGGTGCCAAACAGCCAAGGGGGAGGGCACGGCATGGAAATGGGGTGCTGGGGGGAGAGGGAGGAGACACAGGGGCCTCGTCTCCATCAGCAGGCTTGTTGGAGCCCATCTCAGTTTTTCCTGTAGTTTCCTTCCTTGAACTGGCTACAGCCCCATGAAGATGCCATGGCGTCTATGAAGCAACAACTTCATAAATCACCAAAAGATCCTTTCCAAATTCTAACTGCGAGCAATGGGTTTGTAGAGAATTCTCAGGGCCTGACAGAAGGTCCACACAGTATACATCCATATGCAGCCTTTGAGACAAGAAATGTTGACTTCGAAATACCATAGAATAAGACAAATATTGTTGAGAGAAAAATGGAGCTAGAAAAAAGTTTCAAAAGATGACCTTACAAAAAAGACTAGATACTTTAGAGAAATAAAACTATGAAAAACCCATTATATTGGGACCACGAGGGGTAACTTTAGATGATTAGCTTTAAGGCATCTACAGCATAGCACAGCAAACAGCTGATAGGCCAAGAAACGCTCATAGTGCATTGTAATTAGGAAATAGTTGGCTTCTGATGGTGATGGCGTGAATTATAACATCGATATTGTCTCACCCTTCTCATGAGACTGAAAATAGAATAAAAGTTTTTAAAATGCCTCTCAGTTGCCCCATCTCTAGATCAAGAAGAGAGTACTGTCCAACAAATTGGTGCCCCATGTGAGGAGCAGACCACTCAACTAAACTGCCAGACCTGCCAGAAAGGCCTGAGGTCATTTTTGTAAAGTGTTGTGGAGAGAAGCACAAATCCTGGGATCATAACTCTTGCGAGAAGAGAGAAGTTGGATTTCTGTCCTTGTCGCTGGCTCGATGAGGACGGAGATCCGACAAGGACTTCCTTGTTGTTCAACATCAGGTAAGCCTCAGGGAACAGGTTAGGACACAGGATGTCCAATTTGCCTAGAGATGTTTATAAAAACCTTAAAACCTTAAAAATCTGGTCAAATCTAATTCCTGTAATGTTTCAAAATCTGAGTTAATGGACTTACTATTATGCATTCAGAAGCAGCTTCCAGCTGTGGATGAAGCTTCTTTGTTATCACTCCCTCTTTGGGAACTTTAAGGACTGAAACTATACAACACTTATACCATAAACAGAGATCAAACAGCTACTAAGTTGCTACCAGCATGATGATATGATTGATATGTTTAAACATTCTACTGAACGCTCTAAGTAAAATATGAAGCATTAATTTCGGTAGTTTCTTTGAACGGGTTTTGTACTGGTGTGGGGAAGCTCATTCCCACCTGGCTCTGCTCTGGGATTCTGTGTACCCCAGGGTTGTCAATGAGGTCCTTCAAGGGATGCTAAGATAGAACTGGAGGTAGCAAGATTGGGGCAAAATGGGCAGAAAGACACATTTGTAGGTGTTCACCTTGAAAATGCATTGCACATATTCCACACACCTTTCCAGACTCCAGGTGATGGAGTCAAGCTTGTGCCATTCCAAGAAGAGCAGAACAACTGTGATGAAGCATCCTGCTGGATTCGGGCACCTCCCACCCCACCCCTCCAAAAATCACCCATTCTCCCTGAGAGCAGGGACCAAAGCCCAGGTAAAAGTGAGGCTGCTCACCTTTCCTCTCCTTCGAGAAGCTCTCCAACTTCTGCCGGATGGATTTAATGCCTTTGGAGCCATCTAGGAGGAGAAGAGAAGGGGAAGGTTCAGCACCAACGTCTTGGGGCTGGTTCAGAATAGGCTTCCTGTCCCTCTGCAGCCTCTCTGCCCGGGGAACAGCCCCAGAGATGGACATCAGTGCCTGGATAACATTCCCAGAGACTGGCACCATCCTCTGTGGGTGAAGGGGTGGAGGGACCCCATGGCGCTCTACATGAGCAGTGAGACCCAGAAAGGCTTTTGGGAATGTTTTACAGAGCACACACATAAAAAGTTGGACAAAATACCATCACAAATCCCATCCCACTCTGTAGGACTCCCACCTCACACATCCAGCAGCAGTGAACTGAGAATTCACTCACTGCCCACCCTAAATCCTTCCAGGACACATCACCCTATTCTGGCTCATACTCTTCATTCCTGAGGAATTCTTTTCCTAGGAACAGCTTATATCTTCTTGTTTGGGTTATTTTGTAAGACTTAGAGGAAAGCTCTAACAGCTGGAATGAGGAACATGAGTGTAGAAGCCAACATAAATTATCCAGCAGCACACTGACAAACCAGGAAGGAAATATTGGGGTTTGGGGCTTTTTTTGGCACTGCACTGGTCCCTAGAGGAGCTGCTGCTGCAGGGTGTCACTCCAAGCTGGATCACAACAGTCCAAAATAAAACAAAATAGAAAAGGAATCAGGATGTTTGTGGTCAAAGTCCTTCAGGGCTGCAGCCCTGGAGCAACTGGGAGTTCTGGGAAGGAGAGGGGAACTGTGCTGGACTCTTCATGACGCCATTTCATGGCATGAAATCTTTGGGATATTAAGGTGGGAAGCCAGACTTGGGTGTCACCTCAAGCAGCTGGTGCTCAGTGTGAGGCTGGGCACTGGGAGATGCTCCGTCCCTGGGAGAGGATCCCAGAGACACTGGGAACCTGAGGCCTCCATCCTGCCCTGGGGTGCTGGGAGTGGAAGGGGGGCTGGAGACCCCCAGGCTCCCTCTGCACCCCCAGCCCCAGACCTGGTGAGCTGGTGGCATCCCCTGCCCTGCTGGGATGCCAAAATACGGCCCAGGACACAGGAGGCACATCAAGTGGATAAGAAGTGAATTTGAGAAGGAGTCTGGGAACCACAACTCTCTGGGTTTGCTGGTGGGGGACACAGGCAGCCCTGGGAACCCTGACAGGGCCTCTGTTCTCAGTTCCTATGGAGCTCCTAAATTTATCCACCCTTTTATGTGCCAGTGCATTATCCACTCTCCCACAAGCCCCTTTCCAGCATCAGGACTTAGTGCTGGTCATGGATCCAAACAGCAAATCCCGTCCCACCCCAAGGGCACTCAGACAATCCCAGTGGAGACCTCGCCAAGCTGTCACATCTGGTTTGGGTTTGGGGGTTGGAGGGTCATGTTCTCACACTGCTGAGGACACGCAAACCCCTCCATAGGCTGATCAGGCCTTTGGGGCTCAGAATAAAGCAGGAATGAGAAAAAGAATGGACCAAAATGTCACAAATGTCTTTCTGTAACCATCGTCCCAGACTGTGGTGTCGGGGTGAGCAGCATGAATGGCTCAGCCTCAGCCCCCCCTTGGCAGGAGCCTCCTCTCCTGTCCTCTCCCATCCTGTCCCTCCTCTCCCCCTGTACCTCGGTCCAGGCTGAGATGCCCCACGGGCAGCCTCTTCTGCAGCTGGAACAGCGCCAGCTCCTGCAGACTGGCCCTCTCCAGCTCAGACAGGCTCTGCAGGGCCACGGGCTGCATCCCAGGGCTGGGGCCTGGCACAGGGGGCGAGCCAAAGGTCCTCTGGAAAACACACCTGTGTGAAAGGAACACATGGCAGCGACACCTGCTTTAGGAGAGAAACTGCTGGGAGCGCCCCAGGGAGTCTTTGCAGGAGACGTTTGTCACTCTGTCACCTCTGCAAAGAGACAGTGGGGCTGCAGATGCCCCAACCACATCATCTCACTCCAACCTTCCAAGCAAAGGCCTTGGAGGCATCAGTAGAAGAGATTTAGATTTGATCTTGGGAAGGAATTGTTCCCTGTGAGGGTGGGGGGCGGTGGCAGAGGGTGCCCAGAGCAGCTGTGGTTGCTCTGTGCCTGGAAGTGTCCATGGCCAGGTTGGACAGGGCTTGGAGCAGCCTGCACTGGTGGCAAATGTCCCTGCATGGAAGGAGATAAGCTTTAAGATCTCTCCCAGATTCTGTGATCTATCTCTTTTAAATCACAAACAAGTGCATGTGACCAGAGGTGCCGAAGCCCTTTACCCCAGGCACAGGCTGGACCACAGCCCATGGCACACCCTGGACACCCCACCTCCTCTCCCAGAGCTCTGGGGAGCCCTCCCTGTTGTGTGCAGGCTCTGGGGGAGCCCGCACAGGGACCTGGTTCCTCACCCCACACTGACCTGGCTGCCTCCAACTGGTGCCACCTCCTCCTGGTGCCACCTGTGCCACTGCCCCAGCACTGGCACCACCTGGCACAGTCCAAAGAGCAACAGCAGCCCCAGAGAGAAGGGAGGATTGAGGTCAGAGTACGGGCTCTGAAAACAACCTCCCCAAAGAGACTTAAGGCAAGAAGGAAAATAAATGCTGGAAGTCTCAAGGGATGCAGTGAGACCCCCAGGAACAGGACAGGGCTCCTATGTCAGTCTCTGCCACCCCCCTCCAGCCCCTGAGACTGGTTCCTTCTGGCCAGGTTTGAAATTTTAGTTTCTAAAGTTTAGAAATTAGAAATTTAGAAATTAGAATTTAGAAAGTTACATAACTTGAAGAAGAAAACAAATATAAAGTAGTTGTTCAGAGTTCCCTGTAAGTAGACATTGAAAAGGGAATTCAGCTACATCATAGAATCCCACACTGGTTTGGGTTGGAAGAGACCTCAAAACCATCTCATTCCACCCCTGCCATGGGCAGGGACACCTTCCACTCTTCCAGGTTGCTCCAAGCCCCATTCAGCCTGGCCTTGGACACTTCCAGGGATCCAGGGGCAGCCACAGCTTCTCTGGACACCCTGTACCAGGGCCTGGCCACCCTAGGAAGGAATTCCTTCCCAATATCCCATCTATCCTTGCCCTCTGTCAAATTAAAGAGGCACAATGCAGGGATTTTTATAATTTCCATCCTGCTCCCCTGGGACAGCATGGGACGGGAAACTCCTTGGCTGCCACAGATGAGAGCATCTCCACATGCCAGGGACAGCTCCTGTGCCTCTGCTGCCCTGGGAGCTGCCAGCAGGGCGGGAGCAGCTCTGCTGTGCATGGATGGATGGACGGACGGACGGACAAGCCCCCAGAGACACACTGCAGGGAATTACCTTTGTGCAGGTGAAGCTCCACACTCCAGCAGAGCCCACGGCCACATCCCCAGCCTGAGCGGAGTCCTGGGGGATGCAGCTGCCATGGGGTGAGGAGGAGGAGAAATCCCAGTCACGAGAGGGAGCAGCAGGGGGAAGGCAGGAAGGAGAAGGCCGGACAAGCTGCTGCTTATCTGCCCAACCGCAGGCGCCACTCGAGGGGCCCTGGGACGTGCCACCACGACTGGTACTGCCAAAGCTCATCCTCCAGGAGGTAACCCCAAACACCAGTCCCGCTTCTCACGCCAGGGGTGGATTTATGTCCCTGGGAACAGCTGAGATGGGGACCAGCACCTCCAAGCCAGAGGCACAAGAGCAGTGTGGGTGTCCCTGCAGGGGACAGGGATCGGTGATCCCTGTGAATCACCACGGGGCAGGAGAGCTCACTCAGCCTGGGCAGGCACCAGGCTCCCCACAAGGAAGGAAATGCTGGCCCACAGCAGGGGCAAAGGCAGAGCCCCACACAAATCCTCCTTTGGAGGGGATGCCGGAGCAGGAATCACACTAACTCAAAAACAGAACTAGTGCTTATTTCAGGAAATCTCATGGGGAAAGCTCAGCCCAGCTGCCCCCTCCGTTCCCAAGGAGCAGCGGCTGCTCCCCCAGTCTCAGCTGCAGTTTCTCTCTTCCCAGCTAGAACAAAGGGCCCACATTTACCTTGCCTGTGTCCTCTTGCAGCAGCACCAGCAGCTCCTGGAGCTCCCGGCTCTTCCTTTGGGACAATGGTTTTCACAGCAGCATCTCCTCAAAGGCTCCAGGGGCCCTTCCAGCCCACAGGCAGGAGGAGAAGCGGGGAAGTGATGGAAAGGAGCTGCCACAGCCGAGGGGAGGAGAGAGGGGATGAGAATGTGAATTTTCTGCCAAAGAAATGAGAGCCAGAAACAGCGTGTGGAGAGAGGGCAGGGCTGGATGGAAGGAACTGCACTTCCCACGCTGGACATGGAGCCTTGGCAGGGATTGCTCATTGCTCAATCCCCTCCATCCTCAGCTTTCCCCACTCCCATCCATGGGCAACCAGACACCCCCGAAGCATCAGCTGTGCTGGCAGGTGAAACCTGAACTGGGAACGTGCTGCCTGGGCTGGTTGGGGAGGGCCAGTGGCTGATTCCCACCTCAGCTCTCCGTGCAGACCTTCCTGGTGCTCCACCACAGCATCTTCCCCATGACAGAGTGTCCGGCAGGGTCTGGCACAGGCCACATCCAGAGTCCCTGCAGAGCTCTCCTGCTGAGGAACTCACAGACCTCATCGGTGGATCTACAGCTTCAGTTGTTCCCAGAGGGTTACAGACCTTCGAGAGTCTCCCAAATCTCTACCAACACCCAGAATTGGCACTTCTTGCCAATTAACACACCCATGAGCCCTTTGGGGGCCACAGCCAGGTTCCTGGCCCACGATCATGGAATGGTTTGGGTTGGAATGACAAAGAAAGCAGCAGGGCCAAGATTTGCCCATTAAAAAAATGTTTATTCTTTAAAAATACAGCATTCATCTGCAGGGACACAACTATGCAGAACATTTTTTAAAAGGGTTTTCAATCTGTTCCCAGTGTGGCAAGCACTCAGTGTTGGGAGCAGGGAGAACAATAGCCCATATGGGAACAGCCTGGTCCCAAGGGAAGATCTCTGTCACTCATCCCTGGATGTCACCTCAGCAGCCCATCTGCAGGATGGATTTCTCCTGGGAGAAACCTCAGCCCCTCTGGAAAGGCCCTGGGAGAGGGGAAGCAGGACCCCGAGGTGCTCTAGCCCTGACTCACTTCCACAGCACCAGCCACTGCCCCACAGGTCCTGGCTCCTCTCCCTTCTGCTGCCCCATGGAACAGCCTGCCTGGGCTCTCCAACAGCCCCAGCCCTCTCAGACCCCCAGGAGGTGGCTCTGGCTGCCCACGGTGCCCTGGCCCCATCCCAGCTCCCACCCTGCAGCCAACAGAGGCTGGGACCCAGCAAGTCCTTGTGCTGCGGGAGCCGCCGCGCTGCGGAGCCCAGCCCCGTCCCCACTGACCCCACACCTGCCCTGACTCGGGGCTGCTCCAGCCACAGCTGCTCCCAGGGCTCTGCAACTGTCCTGGTTCCTGAAGTTTCTTCCTTGATTTTCCCAAGGAGAGCTCTCACTGAGTACACACCACCCTGCTCTCTCTCCACCTGGCTGACCCCAAGGGACAAGTGGCACAGGTGCCACATTCCCAGCTGGCACAGCAGGGGTGTCTCCTCTGTGACCACCCCAGCTCCCCCAGTGCCCAGGGAGAACTGGTGCCAGGCTCTGCCAGTGGGAACAACAACGAGGAGGATGATTCAATGGGGCTGGAGGATGAAGGTGCAGGAAGAAATCCAAGGGATCTGGAGAGACCTCAGAGCCTTGGGGTGAGTGGGAAAGGGAGCAGGAGCACAGGGAGTGCTCTCCTCTGTCCTTCCCACTTCAGGGAATGGTGAGGGAAGAAACAGAGCCAGCAGGTCAATAGCTGGCTCCAAGCCTGGTGTCACCAGTGGAATTTTGGGGTTTTGGATGAGGAATTGGTTCATACACCGTCAGGTCTCTGAGCCAGGGACACAGAACACACCAGAAATGTCCCTGTACTCATCTGGGCACCACCTTGGCCATGGCACAGGGTGGAGAAGCACCTGGCAGGATGGCACCAGGGTTGGGGATGTGTCACACATTCTGGAAATGCCTGACAACAGGAACATATGAACTGGGGCTTCTCCCCCAAAGATGAGGTGGGATCAATAGCCCAAGTGAAGGGCACCAACACCTGGGGCACGGGGAACAAAGAGGAGGGGCTGGAACTGTGCCAGCTGCCGTGCTGGGAGCACGCTGGGATGTCCAGCAGAACAGGAATACTGCACGGGGTGACTGAAAGCTCTGCAGGTGCCACCAGGGTGGGAAGGTGAGGCTGCTGCAGGCAGGAGGATCCAGAGGGCTCCAGGCTGGGATGGGCTGAGCTGTGCCACCCTGCACCTCTGCACAGCTGGGCAGGAGCATGGCATGCACTGGGAGCATGAAGAACAGGGCTGGGAAGGATCAGGAGCAGAGGAGTCTGTGCTGCTCGAGCTTGGTCTCCAAAGCAAAGTAGGTGAAGGAACTGGGTAGTAAAAATCACCAAAAGCCAGGCTGATGTCCCTCTGCTCCACCCACATCCCCAGAAAATTAAACACCCTTCCCAGGTAAAAGATTCTGTACAGACTGACCCAGAGCACAAGTGGCACTGCCAGAATCCCCCTCTGCCCCCACCTCATTTTAACTGCTAACAGAAAGAACAGCAAAAAAAGAAACAATTCCTTGGTTCAGAGGCCCCTGAGCCATCTAAATCTTCTGTTTAAACAAACCTTGGT